TGCCCATGTAATTGTAACCCCTCTGTACAGTATGTTCACAAAAAAAATTAAATTAAAATAAAAAATAAAAATAATTTGGGCTGTGCCAAGGGAAAAAAAAAAAGAAATGTACTCATTATCTTGTCCATGTAATTGTAACCCCTCTGTACAGTATTTTCACAATAAAAAATAAATAAAAATTTAAAAAAAGAATAACAAGTTGAAAGAGTGGCTGTATTCAGATTTTGAAGAATCTTACTTTGTATTGTTTAGCATCCTACTGTTGATACAAAGAATCAATCACTCTGCCTACAGGTGAATTTGTGGGGCTGCTTCTTTCTAAAGAAAAAGGTACAAGTAAAGCACATAAGAAGGGGGACTTCAATCCTTCTTCTGGATTGTCAGAAAAGAAAAGAACGACAAAGCAGCAGAACCACAGTAACCTCTGTGGACATGTGAGACAGCAGACATCAAGGGCTGGCCTCAATCTGAATGTGTTCAAGTCGGTGCTGATATGCTAGAAGATATGAGGTACCAGAAGTAGGACAGCCACTGGCTGTGAGGGTCAACAAGTATGGGTGCAAATACAAGGTACCTGATCCTTATGAATGGCATTCCTTCAGAATTCCCTAGTCTCCCTGCAGTGCTCTCTCTCTCTCTCTTTTTTTTACACACACACACACACACACACACACAGCACACTGTAGTATCAGGGGATGTTCAGAAACCCACGGCATTATCATTATTATTACCATAAGTACCAGTATTGCTTATAATCCTAGCTACTCATGAGGCTGAGATCTGAGGATGGTGGTTCAAAGCCAACCTGGGAAGGAAAGTCCATGACATTCTTAAGCCAGAAGTGGAGCTATGGCTCAAGAGGAGAGCCACCAGCCTTGAGGGAAAAGAAAAGAACTAAAAGCCAGTGCTCAGGCAGAGTTTAAACCCTAGTACTTACACAAAAATTAAATAAATAAACAAACTTGTTTAACTTATAAGAATATATAATAAAAACCTTAAGTAGCCAGGTACCAGTAGCTCGTGTGTTATTTTAGCACTGAGAAAGGCTGAGATCTGAGTAGCCTGAGTAAAAAATCTGAGGCCCTGAGTTCAAGCCCAGAAATAGAAAAAAAAATTAAGATAATCCATTATCTCAAAGAAGATTATGGGACCAGGTTCCTTCCTCTTTCTCTTTCTTTCACTTCCCAGCCACAAGTTAAGCATTTTTCCTTCAGTACATGTTTCCCCATAATACGTTATCTCATCAAATGCTCGAAAGCAATAGTGCCAACCAACTATGAACTAGAACCTCTAAAGCCAAAAGCCAAAATAAAGCTTTACTCCTTAGAGCTGATTATATCAGGTACTTGTTATAGAGACAGAAATTTCACTGATACATGAGTAGAAAAGATAGATAACAAAACAAAGGAGAAATTGTGTAATACCACTAAAGCAATACTTAGGTGGAAATTTATAGCACTAAATGTCTCTGTATTATAAAAACAAGGTTTTTGAGTCAATAGCTTTAACTCCCTATTTACAGAATTACAAATGAAAAAATAGAGAATAAAAATCCATATTTAAAATTATACACAAAATAAGACAGCTAAGAAATACTAAAGAAGCCAAAAGCTGATTATCTGAAATGAGTAAAAATGACAAGCTTCGAGCCACACTTATCAGGGGGAAAAGAGAGAAAGAGATAAAAAGCTCAGAGACAGCACCCAAGCCCTGAGTTCAAGATAGGAGATGGGCACACACACACACTAAAAAAAAAAAAAGTAGTGAAAAATGCCAGCAGACTAATGAAGGGAAATCCGAAGGGAACAGAGCAAGCTTGAAGTACATCCCAATGGTCAACTGCGTGACAGTTTTAGCTTCAGAAAGAACAATACCTATAACATTATTTTCAAATAAATGAAAATCCTAGAGTCAAAAGTTTAAAAGAGAGGGAGTGGAAAGAGGAGAAGAGAAAGCTCAAAATCATTTCTATCATAATAAGTGGCAATCATTTTCTTTATCTGAAAATCAGTAGTTAAAGGGGAAATAAACACTAATCTTACTTTTTCTGTGAGTGTGTGCCAGTCCTGGGACTTTAACTGTGGGCCTGGGTGCTGTCCCTGAGATTTCATGCCCAAGGCTACAGCTCTACCACTTGTGCCACAGCCCCATTTCTAACTTTTTGGTGGTTAATTGGAGATGAGAATCTCACAGACTGCAGGCTTCAAATCACAATCCTCAGATCCCAGCCTCCTGAGTAACTGGAATTACAGGTGTGAGCCACAGGCACCCAGCTCTAATCCTACTCCTATAGTTCATCCAGTGATAAAAGAATATGTTTTATAAAGCTCAACTAGTAAACACAGCAAGAAGTAAATCAACATTTCCTGAACGCAGATGATTTAGGCAAAAGATGGATGTCAGCTTCTCTAGGTAGAAAACTTTAGAGAATAATGTGTTTGGAAAAGGACTACCTTTATAATGAAGAGAAATGGTAGCCATCTTCCAAACAAAATGATAAAATTCAGTATTGCTAATAGTAAGACAACTTGACATTATATGACTCTTAATAAGTATAATACAGTATATATTTCTCCTATAAAATATGCTTACCAAAAATGTTCAATTTTTTTACACAAATCTTTGGGACAAACTCCAAGTTTACAGGATACAGCAAAATGATATCAAAAGGAATTGATAGATCAACAGAACAGACAGAATAGTGTTCATTCTACACTCTTTTCTCTGGATGAGCTCAAACTCTCTCCTTTCCTTTGGCTACCCCAGCCTCTCACTGATGCAGTAAATCCAGAAGAAAGAGTAGTTTCCCTTTGTTTTCATTCTGGATAGGAACTGTACTGCTCTGTGGATATAAACTAAATTTCTGAGAAAGAAGGGAAGATAAGGGAGGGGAATAATAAGGAAATATCAGAAAAAAAGATGAATGAAGGCCACATCCAGAAGGTAAGAAAGTGAGGGTGATGAAGGACACAGAGGCAGAAGCTAAAAAGATCTGCTCTGGCTGAGAAAACTCATGTGTCCTAGAGTAAAATAAGGATCAAGGAACACAGTTATGCTGACAGATTATACTGTAGTCAGGTAGGAGGACAGTTCTTAACTCATAAACAAAAATGGCTTCCCTGGTCTCTATAACCTTTTAATTTCAAAATGACACAAGAGTTAATTACCTTCACCTTTTTTGGAGAAGAGATTGCGAAATGTACCACACAGGTAGAAAACTCCACCACCGTGCATGTCAACGTGGAGCTGGTAGCCACTCAGTCCATACTCCGGGCTGTCATCCAAAAAGGGACTGTGAGGAGGAAGTTCATAAGGGCTGAAAAACACATATTCACAAATTTGTCAGTATCAGAGAAGAAATACTTGGGCTTAAAATACTTCTAAAAAATTAACATTTATTCAAAGCACTACCTCCCACCAATGAGATGCTATGAGAATCCCAATAATCTTCCATACCATGAACTTAAAAGAACTGCTCCATGTTCTGCTTACAAACATCTATATAAACTGGCAGGGATATGAATTCCATGGGAAGACATAGGACTACCACAGTAAACATGTTTTCTGAGACCAACCCCAGGACAGCAATTCTACAAAGGCCGCTCTGTCCTCAGTGGTCTCGGCAGCCAGGGATTGAGGTACTTAACAGGTGAATGCATAAAATAACAGATCTACATGTTAGAGACCCAAGCAAAAATCTCAAGTTAAGATGAAACACGCCTTTCAACAAGAAAAACCTTACCACATAAGGATTAACACACTTGAAAGCATCCAGGAGCTTTTAAGATAACATAAAAAAATGTGAATTAGAAAGCACCTAAGTCCACATGAAGGGTAAGAGCTGCCAGGGAATGGAAAGCATGCTCCCCATCTGATTGTATACAAATGCATTAAAACACACCCAAACAAAACACATCTGCAGACCAGATTCAGTTTGAGGATATGGGTCTACATGTGTCACAAAATACAAATAGTAACTGAGTGCAAGAACCTGAGGAACAGTGGTGGCATCTTATACTAATGAAATCTTCCTGTCTTATAAATATTCTCCTAGGTATCAATTCCTTAACCTAGGATAAATAAAGTAAATACATAATCATGAATAATACCATTATTCAGCAACAAGTAACTATGCTTGTTGGCTTGTGTCTACTAACTAAAAGCACAATATCTTCATAGCTATTCTCTGAATGTTAAGATGGCATCAACTTCTAATGCTTTATATCTGACCATATGAAAACTTGATTCACCCACATACAGATACATACAGAGTGGCTGACCCTAATGTGCTCCTCTCCACAAGGTGATGGAAATGAAGATTTGCCATGACAAAAGCCAGTTCTTCCTCGTTCTGAAAAGTTAATTGAAAAGAGTACATTTTTTAACTGAAATGCTTTAAATTTTTCACAAGGTCATTGTGAATATCACAACATTTCAACTTGCAGATACATGCAGATTCTTAGAAATAAAACTCACCTCAGTATAATCATTATTACTACTAATGCAGTATTATTATATAATGAGACTTACATATCATACCGACAGTAAAACCATAATCTACTCAAGTATACAGAACCTGCATTTCTGAAAGAATTATGATCCTAGTACTCATAAAACATCAAAATATTCTATTAAATGGTTGCAATTGTCAATTCCAGGCTGTTTCGAACTCTTTTTAAATATAAAAACAATACTGTGAAATATTTTTAGATACTAGTTTTATTCCACAAATAATGAACATTATTGTCATAATGTTCCTTTCCATATAACTGCTTGGTTTGGTAAATGCCGTGGAAATCATTAGATTTGGCTTTACCTTTTGCCTCTCAGATTAAAGAGCAAAAAGAAACTGACCCACTTGTCCCAGATCCACAGTAATGCTGACTGGTAGAGGTACCCTTGAGTGGTAAACCTGAAGGGGCCATTCTCCAATAGCTAAGCAGAGGACAACAGTCCTTGTAACTCTACAAGCAACATGGATCCAAGAATTCAATTCAAGATATGTTGAACAAGCAAACTTCTGCCTCACCCACAAGTCACCATAACACATAAAGAGAAAGAATAATGACTGTCACAATTGGCAAGATAAAAGAATATGATGCTGCATGGAACTACAGACTGATTCTGTCTAGACATTGTATACAGAGGCATACTACTGTTCTCAGATTCCTATCTGTAAGCGACTCTTTTTAAAACAGCCATAATCCAAAGTTATAAACCTAAATAAACCTAAATGAACAGAGGTATATGATAGCATTACAATTTTCACTAAGTCACTGACAAAAAATAGGCCCAGAGGAGGAGGTGACAATCAACCTCACCAGGAAAAACAAGAAACCTATATAGAGAGAAAGGACAACTACTTTACAGACACTTGACACTGAAAAGCAGATTATGCCCTATGCTACAACCAGGAAAGACACATGCTTGGAGAACCCAGTGTTAAGTGTGTAGTAAGAGGGGCTCTGGTAGAGAAAGAACATGAAAGCAACAGGAAAAAAATGGAATGGAAGGCAACAGGAGATAATCCCCTGACATTAAAAAAATAATGTTAACAAAAATAGGCAGGAGGAGGTGGCTTCCCACGTGTGATAGCAGAATAAGCCCAACTCAGTAGAACAGAGGGTCGCAGAGCCAGAAATATGAGGTTGTTAAGATGAAGTTACATAAAAGTCACCAGGAAGTTCACATTCAATCTCAGACAGAATGCTGTATAATTGCAAAGCTGTGATGAAGAAATTAACACAGTAGATATGAGACACACCTTACCTTCCACAACCCCACAAGGAGGCCAGGGTTTAGGCAGAATATCCGAACAAGTCTGTCACAGCCAATCATGGCAGATTCAGTTAAATGACTCAGATTGTACTTTGCAATTAAAGAATGCCATCGAGGTCTTTGAACATCCATGCCAAAGGAAGGAGAAAGAGAAATGAGCTATATGTGTGTGTATGCAGGTGTGCATATACATAGATAAACATATATATAAAATTTCAAATCTCATTGTTATACCTAAAAATGTTTTGAAGAGCAATTTATATATACTAATATGCCCAAAACAGCTTAATTATAAATGGAGGCACAAAAATCTTGTATAAATAAAATTAAAAAAATATATGACTCTCATCCTATTGTCATTCTTCACTTCCCTCTTGCTGTTACTCCAGTGCCCATCAGAAGGAAGTTTTACAATTAAGATGAAAAAGTGATAAAAATCATTTTTTATTATTTCCTCCTAAAACTACAGTAAAAAAAACTATCAATATATATCCCTAATCACGTGAGTAGAATAACATGCAAGTAAAGATAAAATAGTTTAAGTAACATTAAAGCGAGTCCTTACAGCAAGCTATATGAAAGCACATGTGCCTTTCAAAGTTATCAGGAAAAACTCAGACAGTGAAAACTAAAACAGGAAATCAGTCTGAAACAAAATCATGAGTGTTTTTATGAAGGAGAGACACTGAACTCAAAGTCTCATTGCCTGACAACTTCACTTTTTTCTCAACATAAGACTTAAAGCTAACTCAGCAACATTTTACAAGGACTACCAATGGGTCTACCAATGATAGCGTCAAAAGTCTTACATTTCCAGTAACCTACACCTAGTTTGGGAACTTATAAAGGCGATAAGATCTCAATCTAAGAGGCCGAATTCCTTAAGAAGTAGGAGTCACAGGGCACTGGCGAAGCCTGTAATCCTAGCTACTCCGGAAGCTGAAATCTGAGGGTTGCAGTTTGACCAGCCCAAGCAAAAAATCCATGAAACTCTTATCTCCAACTAACTACTAAAAATCCAGAAACGGAGTGGTGGCTTAAATCGCAGAACACTACCCTTGAACAAAAAAAGAACCCAGTTCAAGCCCCAGGACTAGCACACACACCAAAAAGGTCATTCCAAAGTCTGTTTCCAGAACTTAACACATAATAGGGCCAAATGGAGATGAATATGCAAATGTTAATTAAGTAAAAAAAACTTAAGAAGATTAGATGTGAAAGTTTCAAAGCATTAAGAGCTGAAACCAAACTACAGTCCCCTCACCCCCCATGCTACTGAATTCAACCCTTTAAAAGATCTTTTATGCTGACAACCACAACTGCGTGGGAGAGATAGCTGATAAACACAGCCTGGTGGCATATGCAGAATATACCTGGGGACGATGAATATAGAATTGGCGACCTACGTGTGGATTCATGTAAGCCTGACCTGAAACCTTAGCCCTAAGGAACAGTGACTCCACAACCATCACAAACTAGGTTCTTGTGACATTACCAGCCTAATCAAAGGAGAAGCTGAAAACTTAAGAAAACACTAACAGCATGGTACACAAAACAGGTGTTCAATAAGTGATAGTCAATGCATTATCAATAAGATGGAAAGGGGAGACTAAGGATGTGAGAAGCCTTCTTCTCTTCCTCTTCAAGAAGACCAAGGCTGGAAAATACTCTTAAGGCTGGCTGTGTTTCTTCCATTCTATGTTTTTAGCTCCCTTAACAAAGATTAGATGGCTATAGGTCTGTGGGTTCATTCCTGGGTTTTCAATTCTATTCCATTGGTCCTGAGGTCTGTTCTTGTGCCAGTACCAAACTGTTTTGATTACTATGGCTTTGTAGTAGAGTTTGAAATTTGGTATTGATATTCCTCCAGCACTGTTCTTTCTGTTAAGGATCATTTTCGCTATTCGGAGTCTTTTATTGTTCCATATGAATTTTTGGATTGCATCTTCTATTTCCTTGAAGAATGAGGTAGGAATATTGATAGGTATTGCATTGAATTTGTAGATAGCCTTGGGAAATATTGCCATTTTCACGATATTGGTCCTTTCAATCCAGGAGCATGGGAGGTTTTGCCACTTTCTAAGTTCTGTTTTGATTTCCTTTTTCAGGTTTTTAAATGTACAAGACATTATGCTGAAAAATGAAGTTTACAACTTTGGCAGGGTAGGGAGTGAGGGGTGGGACTGGGGGTGGTAGGAGATAGGAGGGTGGGGGGGTGGAGAGGGGAAGGGATGGTATGGGGAAACAAAAGAGGAAGCAACAATACTTGATAAGAAATGTACTCACTATCTTGCCCATGTAATTGTAACCCCTTTGTATGGTATTTTCACAATAAAATTAATTAATTAATTAAAAAGTAAAACAGAAAAGAAAAAGCTGGCTGCAGAAGCACTTACACAGCCTCTGAGGACATTCTTGTCCTCATCTTTCTTGGTCTCAAAGACCACTGACACACTGAGGCGCACATTTACACCAGTGTACTCACAGACTTGGAGCAGGACAACATATACCGTAAAACTGTCAAGGAAGAAAACCTGAGAGTTACAGGAAAATTCAATTTACAAATTATAGGGGTTTTGCTTTTCCTCAAAAATCTTCATAAAAACTGGGGGGGGAGCCCTAAATGAAAGTCCCTAAGTATCTTCCTAGATGTCACCAGATACAAAGATTTTTATTCTTGCAAATGAAAGGCCCACCAAAACACATTCCTAAACTTTCAGTTTTGTTGAGAACAGTTCATTAAAGGCTAGCTGACATTCATAGACTTTTAATGAAAATAAATTACATTCAACAAATTCCCCCAATCAATTCCAGCATTTTTAAATCATAGGTAGTTCTTCATGATTCCAATTTTTTAAACATACTATTTTGGGGGCAGGGGGGATAAGGGGGAGGGAGCCATACAGGGGCTTGAACTCAAGGCCTACGTGCTGTTCCTTAGCTTTTTAACTCAATACTGGGATTCTACCACATCATAGCTCTACTTCTAGATTTGGGTGGCTGACTGAAGTTAAAGAATCTCAGGGTGGGGTGGGAAGGTGGCTCAATGGTAGAGTGCTTGCCTTGCATGCAGGAGGTCCTGGGTTCGATTCCTTAGCACCACATAGGCAGAAAAGGCCAGAAGTGGCACTGTGGCTCAAATGGTAGAGTGCTTGCCTTGAGCTCAGGGACAGCGCCCAAGCCCAGAGTTCAGCGCTCCCCCCACCCCCGCTTCCAAAAAAAAAAAAAAAGAATCTCAGGGACTTTCTTGCCTGGTCTGGCTTCAAAATATAATCTTCAGATATCAGTGTCTTGAATAGCTAGGATTTACAGTCATGAGCCACTGGCACCAGCAGAAACATACTATTTTTAAGTGGATTTTCAATTTAGTATCACCCATTTACTCTTTCATGTTCATTTAACCAATGTTAACAATTTTGTTCTAATATGTATAAACTAATATTTCCTAATAACCAAGTAACACATTGTTGCCAAACTAATAAAAGAGTTTGTGGGTTTCTTCTTTGAACTAATTTCACATACATATAACCTAAACACTATTTGAGGAAAACCTGGTGCCCAGCAAACTTTCAAATATTTATCCAAATAGAAAATCATTTAAAAAAATAATAGTTTCTCCAGAATACTTTAGTAACATAAACAGAGAGAACAATTTCAGTTTTCATTGATTTTTTTGATAAATTTCTTATTAAAGAGTTGTACAAAGGGGTTTCAATTCAACATGTTAACTTATATATACAATGCATTTTGATCAGTGTTCCTCCATCCATCATTTTACTTTTTTTTTTCATGTTACTATTAAGGAAGCTGGAGACTTACTAGCAGTGTGAGATCCAAATATCCTCACATTTGCAGCATTCACAGAACTCAATAATCAGTAAAAACTTGAAAAAACAGTGCCACAGAGGGGTCCAACACAGGCCTACCTACCTCCAGGGAAATGGATAAAAAGTGTCCACTGCAACAGACATGAATGAGACTCGTGGAACTGTAGTGTGCACGGACAGAAAAAAAAAAAGCAATAGGGAAAAGGCTGCTGGAAGGTCAAAGGGAATTAAGACAGGTAACGGATGGGAGGGTAGACTGGACACCTGCTAAAGAGAGGAATGATTTTAGCTTTGCATTTGCAATGTATTATAAGGATTCATTAGCTTTATCTAGAAGTAAATCTTCCACCATGCCAGAGCCCAGCTTTTAGGAAAAAACATCAATGATGAGCATGAAAGATTCACTAGGAAGACAGATCCTAGCCTTTCATGAGTGTACCTCCAATGTAAAAACCACCTGACAACGGGATAATCATCAGTGCTCTGTGAGGCACACTGATCTGACCTTACAGTACTATGTGCATGTTGTCACATATCTAGGAAGTTTAGAAGAAAGGCACATTAAATAACTACTAATAAATTTATGCTCTCACATTTAAGCTATAATTAGTATATCATTTCTTAAAGAAAAAAACATGCTAGGTTTATGTCTTTAAGATGGTTAAAACTAAGAACTTCAAAAAGTTAACCATCAATCACCAACTTAAACGTACTTATTGTTAACTCTGTTATATACAGTATCATTTGTACTGTTACAGGTTATGTCTAAATTTAGGTTCTGCATTTTTTTGTTTTGTTTTTGTTTTTGTCAGTCATGGGGCTTGAACTCTGTGCCTGAGCACTGTCCCTCAGCAGTTCAGCTCAAGACTAGCACTCTACCACTTGAGCCACAGCACCACTTCCGGTTTTCTGAGTGATTTATTGGAGATAAGAGTCTCATGGACTTTTCCTTCCCGGGCTGGCTTTGAACCGTGATCCCCAAATTTCAGACTCCTGAGTAGCTAGGACTACCAACATGAGCCACCAGCGCCCAGTTCTGCATGTTTTTTAATATATGACAGTGTGATATCTATAAAGTGTGAAAAACCCATTTTTTCCTATTCTATGGTGATGCAGAATAGTAGAAAAGTCTTTCAGAAACAATATAGCTTTAAAATCATGGTAGCATTTCTGAATTACAAACCAAAGCCAATATTTCAGTACAAGAAATTTCTATGACATTATGACTTACCCATTTTTGACAGGGGGTTTATACCGATCCATAAAAACTGGTGTCATACCACACAGATCCAAGGTTGACAATGTGGCTAAGTGTGGCCAGGTTTTGCCATACCATACAACAGTAACAGATGTATCATTGAAGGAAAGATCCACATGCTGCAAGACATACTCCTTTCCACTTTTTTCTCTCAATATAATTGCCCAACTTAAGCCTGAGATTCTGGAGAAAGAAAAGAAAGCTAATAATGTTTACCTCATTACCAAAAAAAAAAAGCTAAAGATCATTTCAAGTATTATCTCCAAAACATTTATTTTCTTAACATCAAAAGTTCTCAGGGGGGAGGGGGGAGGCTGGGAAGGGATGTGAAGGGTAAACAAAAGGAGGAGGCTGCAATGCTTGGTAAGAAATATACGCATTATCCTGCCCATGTAATTGTAACCCCTCTGTACAGTATCTTCACAAATAAAATAAAAAAAAAAGTTCTCAGAACACACTCAACATAATTTTCACTTCATCAACAGTACCTTCAGTATACTCACTCATTGAGCATTTATGATGTCTCAAGAATGGGCAATAGGGGCTGGGAAGGTGGCTCAGTGGTAGAGTGCTTGCCTTGCAGGCATGAGGCCCTGGGTTCGATTCCTCAGCACCACATAAGCAGAAAAAGCTGGA